ACATACATACATGCATACGTACGTACGTACATACGTACGTACATACATACATATTCCTTCAAAAATCATGCTTAAGGGCTGTGGTCTCTGGACATGCATATCATGCAGGGCTCACTCCTTGACGGGTGTTGATACCTTTAGCCATGAGCCTGCATCAGGATCATGGCGAGATCATGTCGGAATCATACTGTGCCCAGCAATTTGATGCTGTCCTTCATTAGTTATGCTCCCCGGTTCACTCTGGTGGGCCTGAGGCGCATCACTTCACAAGAAGCAAGCTGACTCGTTGGAACCTCTCATCCCAAACTCCAAAGTCCCAACGCACCGAAAAGATGTGCTCATGTCACCTTGGCTTGCATACTGCAGATTTCCTTCTAATTATCTTATGAATGTTGAGGAATCCGAGTCTGCCAGATTTCCCAGGTTTTGATATCAGGGCTTGACATAGGGCCTGAAAAATTAGAACAGTATTGTGGGAGGTTATACCAGACAATGCATATTGTCGTAGGAGCTATGAAGGGATATTTGATGTTCACCAAATTTCCCCATGCTTTCGCAAACCCTTTTGTTGAACCCAGGCTCTGATCATCAGCTGGGAAAGTCGGCCACACTAAACCCTAAACCCTAAACCCCTGGACCCTAAACCCTAAAGCCCTGGACCCTAAACCCTAAACCCTAAATCCCTAAACCCTAAACCCTAAAGCCCTGGACCCTAAACCCTAAGCCGTCTGAGCGCAGCGGCCTTCGACCAACGCTCCTTGGACGGTGCCGTTCTTGCTGGGCACCTCGAGGCGTGGCTCGGGATGCAGAGGGGTCAGCGGAAGCTCTGGATTTCAGCGGGTTTAGGGTTTATAGGGTTTAGGGGCCTAAACCCTGCTACATAGGGTTTAGGGTTTAGGGTAATTTAGGGTTTAGGGTAATTTAGGGTTTCGGGTTTAGGGCCTTTTAGGGTTTAGCGGCCTAAACCCTAAACCAGTCCTTACAGGTCGCTGTAGTGTTTTTTTTCGGCGTTTCGTTTTGGAAGGATGATGAGTTTCTTTTTGCCAAAGCCCTTATCAAGGAGCTTGGCTCACGCTGCTATACTCTGGAGAGCTTTTTGTTGCCTGTATTCCTACAACTTCTCAACACCCAGTTGATGAAGCCGTGGCCTGGAAGACCAGGGGAAGTGTCGAGAGATTCGGAAGCGAGCCCATTTTTGGATTTTCAACACTGCGATGCAATCCGTCAAAGCCTTCGGCCAGTCTCCAGGAAGACGTCCGACATCCCTAAACCCCTCAACTTGCATCACCAGAACCCCACGCCCTGCATCCTTTTCAGGATCTACGCAGTAACTCCTACACCGCCCACACACTTCTTCGTTTTGTCAAACTCTGCCCTAAGCTCTAAACCATCGGACATCCTAAATCGACCTCGGCCCGATTGGCATCTGAACTACACCTGCGCCAGGATGTTCAGGTTAGCTTTTGCCGTTACACTTGCAACAAGAAGGGTTTCTCTTTCTTCAAACTAGTCACGATTCTGATTATCGTCATGCTTATTGCTGTAGTACTATGGCTTGGAGCTTGTCTTGAAAGTGTATCCGACTAATTGCTTGGAGGCCGTTTGCTAACCTGCGCAGAGGTGGCACAACGGGGGCCGCTCAAGTGAGCTGCCGAGAGGCCCACAGGGTCACCGCATGGTTCAACGCAGTAAATCAGGGGCTCTGTTCAAGGACATTTTCAGGTGGGTAGTTACCGTTATAGGAGCCTTATAGAAGGTCTATATGCCTGAT